CCCATCTTCTGACATGCCACTCCTTTCTTTCTTTTTTCTCTCGTGCACACCCAACCCCAACCACTTCCTTCTGCATTTCTGCCCCTCCCCCCAATTCTCCCCCCCCGCCTTCCCCTCCCCTCCCAGTGCCCACCAACCATCCTCGCTTCTGCTGTAGTCCACCTCAGGCCTCTTCTCGTACTTGTCAATTTAATAAACTCCTCGTTGCTACCCCCAGTAGTTCGTATGCTACATATCCTACCTTCTTCTGTAGGGGACTACAGCAGATGGAGGGGTGGGAACCCCTCCCCCTCCCCCTCCCCCTTCCCCAATGTACGACCCTCCCTCCACTGGCTTCCTTGGCCCTTTGCATCTCCTGGCCTGCCTTCATCTCTTGGGAATAGGAAAAAAAAAATCAAAAATTTGCAGAGTACGAGTATACTCACACTAGACCATCAAAATCACAAACTTGCAAAATGAGTAGCCAGATCGAGTCCTTTGTTTACAAGAACTCGATGTAGCCACTCATTTTTCCTATTTTGGCATTTTGAGGGCCTGGTGTGAGTATGCCTTCGGAGTATATGGAAAATCCAGATGGGCGGCTCTAGCAAAGGATTAACAACCTGCTCAACCATGCCCCATACCGTACTGGACCACTGGTCCAAGCACACTTTATTTTTTTCTTATCTTTTTCTTCCTTCCCTTGTTTTTTTTTTTTTTTTTTTTGGTGGCCTTGATGTTTCGACTTTGATCTGACCAAAAGCCCCATATGAACTCTTAGCTCTTAGTCATCTTTACTAATATCATATTATGATATTATTAATAATAATAAAAAACGATTTGTGAAGGCGTTTAAACTCTGGCCTGTGTTTCAACAGTTCATTGGTGCACAAACTGATCTTACCACACTGATCCGAGGATGTATATGACTCCAGTGCCTTTTCTTTTTTTTTTTGTTTTTTTTTTGTTTTGGTCTCCTCCTCGTCTGGGGACAGCTATATATCCTCTTCTCCCTCTCTGCCTACGGTTTACCGGGCAGTTCTATTTGACGATATATATATATATATATATATATATATATATATATATATATATACAGCCCCTCGTTTGTTGTCCTCTTCTCTCTCTCTGCCTACGGTTTACCGGGCAGTTCTGTTTGTGACGATATATAGATATATATATACAGGGTCACCAGCCTGTATGTACAGAGGTTCCCTGGCAGACCTCCGTACGTACGGGCGTTCGGGGTCCCGTACGGGGTCTGAACTCGACGGTGTTTTGCCCCCGCCAAAAAATATTTCGGGGCCTAAAAATATTTCTTTTTTTTTTCTGATTTTTTTTTTTTGTGAGTTCTCTATGACGTGAGGTACATTCCTATAATTTTTCAAGTCATTTGGCTCAGCCAAATAAGAAATAAAAATCGCCAAAGATGGCGGTGTCAAAACGTGCTCGCCCACATTTCTTTTCACATTTTACTTTTTGTTTTTCACTTTAGTACAGGGTCTAAACAATTTTATTATTTTTTGAAACTTTTTTAGTGGGTTTTGCATGATGTGAAGTACACATCTGTAAATTTTCAGGGCATTTAGCTATGCCAAAAAAAAAATGAAAAATCGCCAAAGATGGTGGTGTCGAAAACGTGCTCGCACACACACTCCATTAGTTCTTTTTTTATCTTTTGTTAATTTTATTATTAGTATTTGTTTTTCGTATTTTATTTTTATTTCAAATTTGGTAAGGAATTTGGATGTAATGCTCAGGCAAATCTTGTTTAATTTGTTTTTTTTCATAACATATCTTTTTTTTCAGTTTTTATTTATTTATTTATTTTCTTTTGGTCTGCGTTCGGCCCGAACGGCCGAACGCATCCCCAAGGGGTCCCATACGTTCGGGTGTTCGGGTTCGGGCGTTCGGCCCGTCCCGAACGCCGGTTACCCTGTATATA